TGTTTTGCATAAGACTCTATTTCTTGGAAAAGCTCAATAAGGGGGAAATGGAACAAAGGGGGCTCTGATAGTTTAAGCACAAGCTATCTGAGCATAATTGGCAAGGCAGAGGAAAGCTCAGGGATGGAAGGCAGGGTACATGCCTTTAGCCCAGGTTTTCAGCTTCATTGGTGATGGGCTAAGATCTTATATGGAGACGGCCCAAAGCCTGAGAAGTCTGGAAAAGTCTTTATGAATGAGTGGAGTAGATTCTCTACTCTTGCCTTAGCACGAACTCCCATGTCCCGCCTGGCTTGGGGACACTGTGGTGGTCTTGCTTCCTTCCTTTTACAATGAGACTGACACAACTCCCTATTAATCGTCCTCTATCTTCCCTGACCCTTGAATTGTTCACAGAAGTATCAGGAATAAAGGATAAAGGTTTTGAAATTTAATAATCTTCATATGATTAATAATCTGGAGGAACTTTTTCACCTGCTCCCTCTGCTTCTGTTGAATTCTGAGTCTGCAGATCACAGCTTGCAGGGAAACATGTAGAACATTTGGCTGTTTCATCTTTAATCTCCCTCCTCCACCGTCTGTCTGTCCATCCGTCCGTCCATTTCTCTCTCTCTCTCTCTCTCTCTCTCTCTCTCTCTCTCTCTCTCTCTCTCTCTCTCTCTCTCTCTCTCTCTCTCTCTCTCTCTCTCTCTCTCTCTCTCTCTCTCTCTCTCTCTCTCTGTGTGTGTGTGTGTGTGTGTGTTGGTAACCTTTTGCCCAATGTGTGGGCCAGAACTTCTTGAGAACTATGAGATGAACTGCTTTGCTTTGTGAAATCAGGGGTTTGGATCTCAATAAAGTCTCACAGGGGACTGACAGGGCTGGTGGCCTGAGGTCAATTGTTAAGGATATTAGGACTCTTAAGCTAGTGCCTGGGGCTGCTGGACTGCTAAGTACTTGTGTTCAGAGTGTTGTCTCAGAAGTGACCAGTAGATGGTGCTCTGACAACAGGGGAAAAAAGGCTTTTGTCTCTGAGGCTGAGAAAGGGGTTTTCAATGGTTTTAAAACTGGTTTCCAGAGTTCTGATTAACTGCCGATTTTCCACACTTCCATTTATGGGTCTTCAAGAGAACAGTAGAACCGGGGAGAAACATACTTAGCAGATTTCCTCACAAGGGTCATGATGGCAATGATCAGATCACTCTTGGTGGTTCCCTTTTGCATGGTGCCCAGAGCATTTAGACATGGACTGGATTCATCTTCAGGATAGGAGGCAGAACATTTCCATAGGTTTAGCATCACTGTTTCTTCTCTTGATGGTGCACAGTTTGCAATTCTGCAGCATGGTTATTACACATTGAAAATCAGTCTATCAGACGTTTACTCTCTGCTTCTTATAGGCCCTGAACCAATACGTTCATGTTTCTGAAGCTCTGCTATTTTGTGGGTTAAATCAGCACCCTAATGTATGTTCTCCTAGGCTGACCTGAGAGGTTTGCGGTGATGACCATCTGTAGGGCTTAAGTAAATTGATAATTATATTAATCACTTATGTGATTTGATCTTTAAAACTGTTTCCACCCGGCCAGTTTCAAAGTAGAGGAATATAGACCATGAAACCAGTACAGAGACCTGTAGATCTCAAAGCTCTCAAAAGCGACATCCAGGTTGGGGATGAATAGGGAGGAATGTGTCTTCCTCCAGCTTTGCTGTTCTTAAACCATGCTATGATGCTGTAGATGCCGTGATATTTTCCCTAGTCCTCTTGGACTGCTTCTCCAAGGATTCCCACGAACTCCCCTACAGAGTCATTTCTAGTCCCATGGGAACTCTCCCAGGCATTTATGAAACCTGCCCCTTAGGAGTGCAGGGAAGCTGGGTCCAACCCCACTAAGGTCCCGTAACCATCATGTATATTGTCTTGTATATTCTGGGCCTCTAAAGAATTGCAGCAGTCACGCGGAACTCAGGGTATGGTAGAAAAAGGAAAGAGAATCAGCACTAGGTCTCTGATGGGTGGGTAAAGAGATGAGTCGGGGTCCTTAATCATCCTCAGAAGCACTGTTGTAGGTCAAAGGCTAATATGCCACTTAACAGATAGATACGAAGGAAGGCATGGTCAGGAAGGAAGGGAAGGTGTGATGTCTCCACACGAAAGTGAGCGTTTAGAGCAGAGGCAGCAAAGCTACACAATCTCATTTAAGTTCCGAAAGATGCATCATTTATGTCATCATCCATATGGCTCATTATTGAATCCCCAATGTCTAAAATAGTGTCTGTTGTGGGGACTGCATGTGAAAATATTTGTTAAATGAGTGATTAGTTGGGCGTCTGTGCTACGGATTATGGGTCTCCTGGGAAGCGGCTGCTTTAGTCCCATGAAGTTTACAGAGTCCTGAGAGAGATGCTTGTGACTACTGTCCAGTCTTCATGGTCAACCCCCGCTTCACTCCTGCCTCCTCTAAAGCTGGTCAGTACAGTGAGATCACAGTAACAGGCAGAGATGACACACCTCTAACAGTAATGTGGCTTGAAATGGGCTCCCCTGAATCCCAGTGTCAACATGCTGTTCCAAAGGGTAGTGGTAAGTCATAAGGATCGTCATAAGAAGTGATTGTGTTGAGACCACTTCTTTGGATTTCTTGTATACAGATCCCATCTCATCACACACACACACACACACACACACACACACACACTTATAACACAGCACTCTCATACAATAGGCATGTGTCAGTGCTCACGTGGGCTTGCCCACACAGACACAGGAGTAGGGGGATACACGTGCCTCACACTCAGACGTCACCTCCCCTCTCGCCAATGAATTTCACACAGGGATACTGTCTTTCAGTCCTGTGACACCACACTCACCCATGACTCCCAACACCTGGGCCTTGGTCAGCCTTTGCTCCGTCCTCAGCCCATGGCTGCCCTCATCTCTCATCCATTGCTCACGCAGGGAGAACATGGATACAACTATGTGTCAAAGCCAAAGGTGGGGATAAACCTAGCAAACTGTGCTCCAGCTAGTGAGGACAATGGGAGGGGACAGGGATAAACTGCCCATGGGGTCTCGTGTGGATAAGGACAAGGTTGCTAGACACAGAGCTTCTTTTTCCAGGGTTGGAAGCTTGCTTTTCCTACCTCTGCAGCTCAGACACTCGTTTTGTTTTGTTTTGTTTTGTTTTGTTTTGTTTTCCCCTCTGAATGGAGTAGATCAGAGAGAGTCAGTGGATCTTATTGGAAAGTAAAAGGTGGTGGTGGGTTGGAAGACCCTTCTGTTAAGAGTTTGAGAATTTTGAGGGAAGTTTTGTTCAGGCTCACCGTCTAGGGACTGGAATATCTGGGCCACCTGCCACGAAGTAAGGCACAGGGTTCTGCCAGAGTCCGGCCTTCTAGGTGGCCTTTTAAGGTCAGACAGGACAGAAGATCCCAGAGAAGCAGATGCCACAGGGGTCTGAGCCCACAGAATGTTAAGTGCTGGTTTAAGAAGAGAGTGTCGTCTTTGCCCTGGGGAATCCCTGCTGGTGGTAGGGAGCCTTAGAGAGACTATAAGATCCTGGCGAGGGGTATACAAGGTTCCTTCTCTCCACTAGAGCGGCAGCGAGCAGAACACTATGCAGGGCATTGAAAGAGGCACAGCACGCGGTACCCTTCTGTGCCAGTACCAAGGAGAATGTTCCAGGACAGGTCCTTGATCTGTTGCAGAGATTCCGCAGGCACCACCAGCTGCAGCCCTCATCTCTTCTGCATCATTCGAGGGAAAGGCAGCTCATCCTTGGACCCTTGCCTAGGTAGCCTCTGGTCAAATGAATCTGTAAGCCAAACCAGCCTCACCACGCTGGACTCTCAGAGCCCCTCCCCCGCGTCCCTGCATCCCTCTCCGATTCTTGGCCACCTTGCTGCGCTGCTGCGCTGTTGTGCCGCGCTCCACACCGGCCTTTAAGCATCATCTCAGCTCCCTCTAGCCAGGCGGGCCGGGAGGAGGAGGGTGAGTTGGTCTTTGGTGAGGAAGTTCGGTTCATGGATAAGTCCCACGTCCTGCCAGCGCTAGCTAGGCTGACTGCAACCTGTTCCTCGCTGTGAGAGCTTGCCCGCCCGCTCGCCCGCCTGCTCGCTCGCTTGCTCGCGCTCCCGCCCTCTCCCAGGCGCAGCCGCGGATCGCTGTTGCATGCTGATCCTGGGAGGCGGCGGCGGTGAGCGCTCTGGGCGGATGCTGGCACTTGGGCTTCGCTGCTCTCTGGTTGCTGCTCAACTTCTACCCCAAACGCAGGAGCTGTGAAGTCATTTGCCCCTCTCCGGCTGGATCGACTTCTTATCTTCATTTCTCCGGCGTTGCGGTTTACGCAGGAACCTCAGTACCGCTCTTCCCCCTCCCTCCATCCCCCCTCTCTCCAACCTTTGGATGCGTCTCTGCTGGCAGATTTAAAGAGCCAAGTCTTTGACTGTGGAATTTCTTAGATGGACTCGCAGGGGCTGGCGTTCTAAAGCATGCCAACATAGCTGGCCCTCGGCTTTTTTCTTTTCGTTTTTCTTTCAAAGTTCTTTTGTTTTCATTTCCTTTTTCCTCTCTACCCCTCACCCCAGCCAATAAATCAGCAAACTGTTACCTAGCAGGGCCGGTGCCTGCCTTTCTCTGAACCAGGGGGTACGTGTGCCAGAAGAGGAGCTATGTTTGAGGAGCAGCCTACTCCACCCCTCTCCGGTCCCTGAACACCACCCCACGCTGGCATTTTGGGGAAAATATTGCCTCAAGAAGCTGAGCACCCCAAGCCCTACCCCCTTCTTCTTCTTCTTCTTCTTTTTTTTTTTCTTCTTCTTGTGGAATGGAGCTTCGCAGAGGTTGCCTTTAGATTCAACAGTTCAGAACAGGGCTGAAGAGCTTGCAGGGGTCCCCAGAGGCGGTGGTCCCTGCGCCTGTGTGGATAAGGCTCTGAGTCTGGCTGTGTCTTTTCTGCCTCTTGTTGTGTGCGGGTGTTCGGCGATCACCTTTGTGTGTCTTCTGTCTGTTTAAACTTCAGGATGGCTCGCTTCGGGGAGGCGGTGGTCGTTGGCAGGCCGGGCTCAGGCGATGGAGACTCGGACCAGAGCAGGAACCGGCAAGGAACCCCTGTACCGGCCTCGGGGCCGGCAGCCGCCTACAAGCAGTCGAAAGCGCAGAGGGCGCGGACTATGGCTTTGTACAACCCCATTCCTGTCCGGCAGAACTGTTTCACGGTCAACAGATCCCTGTTCATCTTCGGAGAAGATAACATTGTCAGGAAATACGCCAAGAAGCTCATCGATTGGCCATATCCTTTCTTGCCCACCATGGCTTCCCTCTCCCCCTTTGCATTCCATCGGGTGAGGGGGGGGAACACCTAGCATGGAATTTATTCCCCACCCCTTCCTGGTGCCCAAATTTGCCCCTTTGCTGAAGTGCACACTACCTCGTTGCATTCAAGGGGCAAGCCTGGTACCCTGGAGACCTGTTTGGGCACTAGTGTTTTTCAAGGTAAGACTTTTGGTTTTTGGCTTATTCTCCGTGTGGAAATCTCTAGCATACCTCGGTGCTTGGTGTTGAGGTATCTGCCCCTTTCTGGGTTTGGCTTTGTCTGTTTCTCGGCCACCCCCAAAGCCCCAATCATTCCAGAAGCTGCACTCCATGTGGATTGACTTACCTCTAACCTCAGGGTTTTCTTTCCTAACCATTCCCCTCTTTTCCTCCACTTCTGAGGGTCAGTCCCTCAGCCCCCATTCCTACCTGCTGGGAAGACACTGACACTATCTGCCCAGCAGAGAAGTTGAGGCTCTGGGAGGGGATTTATCAGCCCAGAAGCTTCAAAGAGCCCGAGTCGAACCCATGGATAGGAGTAGACAAATGCATACTTACAAAACAGGTCTTGGACTGGGGACTCAGCTAACTCTGGAGACTAAGTTTAAGTTCAACTGAAAGTGAGTGGCTGTCAGGAGAGGGGATCCTGTCATCACAGCCCATCAGAGCTCAAAGTTGGCGTTCTCTTCTCAGGCAAGGAGGTGTGCTCACCTTTCCTCAACTCTGGGCTGCTACTCTTGCTTCTTACTGTTTGACACACCCGGTTGCTCTGCCAGTACCCTGAACCAGGCAGATCTACTGGGCCTGACTTCATCAGCTGAGGGTCAGGGGTGTGCAAGCTAACTACCCCTAAAGCCAAGGGTACTGCTCTTCATAAAGAGCAGGTGGGTCATCTCCAGTGGTGGTGGATTCTGGGGGACAGGCCATGGAAGGGGCTGCTTTGCAGGCTTCACCAAGTGCACTAAATGCAGGCTGCTGATTAGGCACCTCACTGCCTGCTCTGCACTAGGAACTTGCATGCCTGACAAGGCCATTAGGAATTGAGGGTGGTAGGGTATTTCAGGGGATTCTAGGAGGCAAGCCAGTGATTAGTGAGTGGTTGAATGTTGGCTTGGGGACAGGGACTTTGGTGCATGTGGAGGTACAATTCTTGGGAAGAATGCACCTGCAAAAGAGGCTCCTCCTCTTTCCCCCCATGCTCCCTCCTTCCCAACACTCCTTTCAGGTGTGCAGCAGTAAAAGAGCTGAAGGAAGCTGGGGGGGGGGTCTCAAGTATTAGCCTGTAAGGCAGCTTGCTTCCTTCCTGCAGGGTCTGGATGGATCTCTGAACACCCCCCCCCCCACGACCACAGTTTTTGGCCTTTTTTTTTTTTTTCCTCCCAGTTTCCTGCTTCAGCAGCTTCGGGATTGGCTGGCGCATGGTGCTTCTAGGCAGCACCTCATTAGAAATGAAGAAGCATCGCTAAGCAGTGATGCTTCCTGCTGTTCACATCCTCCCCCAGTCACCCCCCCCTCCCCGGCTGGGTTTCTCCCTTTCTCCTCCTGGTTCTCCAGTTCTCACCTCCCCCCTTCCACCCCCACAGAGTGATCTGGGCCATAGAGTGCTTGGGTTGAACTATCTAGATGGGGGCTTGGGGCGGGGGAGGGGCCTGGTCCCTGCAGTCATGCCTGGCAGTGAGCTGCACAAAGCGGACAGATCGCATTGTGTTGCATGCTGCGGCTGCAAATACTGCAAATAACTCCTCGGAGCAGTACCCCTCTGCTCTCCCAGTGAAAAGTCCCCTCCCTTGCCCGCCTTCTACAGTTCTTTCAGATTTCCCACCCACCCGGTCCCGCTTTGCTGTGACCCTCTTAGGACATCCCCCCCCTCCCTCGTCGATCCCCCCTGCAATAGATGAAGCAGCTTCTCTGACCCTCACACGTCAAAGTGTGGCGGCTGCAGCCATCCTTGGCACCTCGGACAGCGCCACGAAAACTCCAGGGCTCCCTATCACTGGGTGCTGCACATTGGGGACTTCCGGCTGGGTTCAGGCTCCCAGGCTGGGATATGAATCACGTTCCCTACACCATGCCTTTGCTTCTTTGCCATGTTTTTTCTTCTGCTGCAAAGACAGGTTTTTCACCAGCCGCTGTAAGAGCAAGATGTCACTGAGTTTTATGCCTCCCCTTTCTTTCTTGTTGGTCAAAATGAACTAATGAGAGTCAAAAGACAGACTCTGGAGGGAAGGAATTCCACTGTCATGCTCTGTGCCTTGGCCATAAGTCCTGTCCCAGACATCTTTGCTATCCCCATACTTAGACATTTTGCAGTGGTTCTACAGCCTGTAAGTTGTAACCTGTTCAGAGAACATCTGCTAAGATGTTGGGGGATCCTGGTTGGATTTTTCCCCTTCTGGTTGTACAGTGTAACTGACTAATGTATTCCCTCCGGTGATGACCACGTGGAAACATTGCGCCTCGTGGGCTCTGCATTTTCTGCCAAGCTGCATCTAGGCTAGTCTCACCTTCCCTCCAGTTCTCAACATGCAGTTTCCTCAAATATCTGCTTCATCTTGTTGAGAATCACTGTGAGGAGCAGTTACTCTTAAAGCTCTCTGATTAGGCTGTCTGGGTTCAAATCCCAGCTCCTCCAGAAGCTCCATGACCTTGAAAAGTTACTTCGTTCCTCTACGTCTCAATTTCCTTACCCGTAAAGTCAGGGTGATGATAAAGAGCTACTGGGAGAATTGAAGGAGTTAAATGTGTCTAGGGCCTGGAACATTGCCTAATTACCTAATAAGCATCCATTTTTATTAATGGAATCCTTTGGGAATTTCTGCACACCTGCAAGGTGGGACTCTTAGTTCAAGGTGAAGTCATTTGGATTCTTGCATCTCGTTGAGATAGAGGAGCCTCATTTGAATCACTTGAGAGCTTGTTCAAAACCCAGACTCCTGGGTCCTGCTTCACAGCTGCTCAATCAGGTCCCCAGGTGATTAGCGTGTGTCAGCAATCGACTGTTCTTGGTTGTGGTGGCGGCTGATTTAAGAAGGACTTTGTTCTTTGTAAGGGCCATATTTTTTACTACAGGAAAACTGTTCAGAAATGCTGTCAAAACCGGGTTTGGTACTGATATACAGTCACACACATGTGACTTTTGATTGCTGTGTACTACACTTTGTGGGTTTTTTTTTTTTTTTTACCTTTTTTCTTTCTTTTTTTGGTGACAGAAAGTCACTGAGGAACTAGGATGTTTAGGTGCTTTTCTCTCATGTCAGACATTTTAATTTTGTTGATCTGAAGGGATGAGCTAAGTAAAAGACGTGATTTAATTTGTGCTCGTAGGACCCCCCTGACTTAGGAGGGCTTTATATTGCCCTTAATGTGAGCTGCCAGGTTCTAATTTGAAGAAAAATGTCTACATGTCTACAATAACCCAGATTTGGCATGGGAGATGGTGGAGAGGCAGCAGCCCACTCTGAATGCATTTCCTTTTTCTTAGAAGCTACATCTGCATAGGGAGATAATTTTATTTTCTCATGACACTCTCTTCTGCAGAGGATACCATAGCCTTTTTGAAAATGCTAATCTGATTTAAAATGTGGTATCACATTTTATGGAATTCTGTTCTTTCTTGCTTGCTCATCTAGTAGATCTAACAAGAGTGCTCTTTCTTCTCAGGCATTGGCTATTCTGAAAGCTACCCACTGGTCCCTGTGCTGCACACTGCCATTCTGACTGTTCCTAGGGACAGTTACCCTGCGGGGGGAAGACACTTGGGATCTCTCTTAGAGTTTGGGAGGCAGCCTTCTCTTCCCACTTTTCCGGGTCAGAGGTAAAGGGAAGAAATGGCGCATCTAACTTGGAGACTCTGCACCATAGATGATCAGTAGGAGATTTCCCCCGCTTCAGCTATTTGGTCATCTCAGCAGGGAAGCACGTGTTTAATGTGGAAGTGAACATAGTTCCGAGTAGGAAGATCAAATACGTTTGCAACTTTGAGCTGATGAAGCTGTGCATACATGATTTCATGTGGAAAATCTCAGTGTCTCCTAGGAGCACTCTGGATATGGGTCTGAGGCTATGCGTGTGTATCACAGATTTCTCCCTGTTTGTTGTTCGATGAATTGTAAATTTATTTGGAGGCTTTTCTTGAGGATTACAGAAAGAGTAAGATCTCTCATTTTGGCATATACTCTTCTTTTCTAAATAAACGTGCCTTGCAAGCAAGGCAGTAAACTGCAGGAGTGATAAGAAGTTCGGGTTTGATGTAACTCCAGTGGGTCATGAGTCTTGGCTGGGGAGAGAGTGGGGTGGAACAAGGATGAAGTCTGTAATTAAACCCTGTGGTCAGATGGTATAGAGCCCTCATGTTTTCCATTGACTTGTGCATAGATACCATGGCTGTAGTTGGCCCAGGAGATGAAGGATAAAGATCTTCGCTTTCTGGGGTTCCAAGAACAGTCTCTTGATTGCCTATTTGTTTAGTCTTAAACGAGGTATTGCTGTGAATGGAACATCTAAGAATCTAGTAGCTGCTCAGTCCTACAAGGCTGGGTGTCTCAACTGGCCTTCTGGATATGTTGGAATCTCAAGTAGGCTTCAGGGCCAGTGAAGGAATGGATGTGTTGACAAGGCGAGAGCAGGCAGGCAAAGAGCAGAGCAACCTTCCTTCTTTCATTGTCCTTATTGAGGCTTCCAGAAGGAGATGTGGTTCAGATCAAAAGTGTACCTTCTCACCTCAAGATCCTGATGCCTTCCAGCCTCAAGATGTGGATCGAAGGCTTGTTGTCTTTCTGCCTCAAGGTCACAAGTGTGCCCTCCATTTCTGGACTGTAATCCATTCAAGATAGAGTCAAGTTGACAACAAAGAATAGTGGGGGTTGTGGGCCTTCTGGAAGCCTGGCCAATAACAATAGTAAGGACCATTTGTAATCGGTATACATCCTGGAAAGTGAGCTAGAATGGAAAACTTTGACAGGAATAAAATGTTTGAG